CTCAAAAAAATCTAAAATAAGCAAATAAAAACCTATTAGAATAACTAATTTTAATGATATGACCGAATGAAACAATCAAAAATCAAAACGTGTAAATTTCCACCAAACCTACTATGCCAATGCACTTAAAATAACCATCTTTAAAATTTATTTTTTGGAACTTAAGAGACTTCCTTAAAATTCATACAGAAGAAGAAAATTTTGGATAGGAAGACCGCCCCATGAGACCTATTAAGCGGCATAAGAATAAACAACTCAGTGATACAAACATGGGTTAAAAAGAAACAACAATACGGAAAATTAGTTCATGATAAAAGTCGTCTTTCAAATCTGCAGAGAAAGAATGCACTATTTAATAAATGGCATTGGAGAAAATGGAAATAAACTAAACTTAATCCTTTCTTTAAACTATACCCTAAATAAATTCCAGAAAGATTGCAATGCTAACTGTAGAAAACAAAAACATGAAGGTATTAGAAAGTTTTTTAAAAAAAGAAATTTCCTTTGTAATAAAATACAAAACCTAGCAGCTACAAAGGAAAAGTGCCAGATTTGATCTTATAAAATTTTATAATTCCAACATATACACATATATATTCTGATATACGTCCATAAATGAAATTAAAGAAAAATGACAAGCCAAGAGATTTATAACATATCTGGCAAAGAGTTAACATTCACAATAAATATACATTCAGGGAAATAAGAAATAAATAAAAGACAATCTCATAGAAAATTGGAATTCACAGAAGGAAAATAAAAATATATGAGTATTATTAATCAGGGATATTAAAATTTAAAAAGTTTCACCTATCAATATGGAAACACTTAAAACTTCTACTTTTCAAGAAAGCAAGGATAGGAATAAAAAGAACTGACACTGTTTTTGCTGTTGTTTTTTAGCAACCCTGTTAACTGAGGAACTGACACTGTTGATGGTAGTATAAATACTGGAGTCTTTCTGGATAACAATTTGGCAGTATCTAACAAATTTTAAATGAGTACACTTCTTAATATCTTCCTCAAGGAAATTCTCTGACAAAATTCAAGAGTGTGTTATAAAGATGCTCACCACACTATTAATAATAGCAAATATTAAAAATAACCTAAATGGTTATATAAGCTATGGTATATTTATATTAAAAATTATGCAGATCTGTAGCTACTGACAAGCAAAGCTTTCCAAAATATATATTTTTAAAAATTCAAGTTGCAGAGAAACATGTTGATAGGGTTTGGCTGTGTCCCCACCAAAATTTCAACTTAAACTGTATTCCCAGAATTCTTATGCGTTGCGGGAGGGACTCAGGGGGAGGTAATTCAATCATGGGGGCTGGTCTTTCCCATGCTATTCTCATGATAGTGAGTAAGTCTCATGAGATCTGATGGGTTTATCAGGGGGTTCCGCTTTTGCTTCTTCCTCATTTTCTCTTGCCACCACAATGTAAGTGCCTTTCACTTTCCACCATGATTCTGAGGCCCCCGGCCACATGGAACTGTAAGTCCAATTAAACTTCTTTATGTTCCCAGTCTTGGTTACGTCTTTATCAGCAGCATGAAAATGAACTAATACATTAAATTGGTACCAGTAGAGTGGGGCATTACTGAAGAGATACCTGAAAATGTGGAAGCGACTTTGGAACTGGGTAACAGGCAGAGGTTGGAACAGTTTGGAGGGCTCAGAAGAAAGCAGAAAAATGTGGGAAAGCTGGAACCTCCTAGAGACTTGTTGAATGTTTTTTACCAAAATGCTGATAATGATATGAACAATAAGGTCTAGACTGAGGTGTTTTCACATGGAGATAAGGAACTTGTTGGGAACTAGAACAAAGGTGACTCTTGTTATGTTTTAGCAAGGAGACCAGCAGCATTTTGCCCCTGCCCTAGAGATCTCTGTAACTTTGAACTTGATAGAAATGATTTAGGATATGTGGTGGAAGAAATTTCTCAGCAGCAAAGCATTTAAAAGGGAATTTGAGTGCTGGTAAAAGCAGTGCAGATGGGAAATGTGGGGTCAGAGTCCCCACACAGAGTCCCTAGGGGCACTGCCTAGTGGAGTTATGAAAAGAGTCACACCATCCTCCAGTCCCCAGAATGGCAGATCCACCTACAGCTTGCACTATGCACCTAGAAAAGCTGCAGACACTCAGCACCAGTCCGTGAAAGCAGGAGGGAGGGAGGCTGTACCCTGCAAAGCCACGGGGGCGAAGCCGCCCAAGACCATGGGAACCCACCTTTTGCATCAGCATGAGACTTAGAGTCAAAGGAGATCGCTTTGGAGCTTTTAAATTTGACTGTCCCACTGGATTTCAGACTTGCTTGGGCCCTGTAACCCCTTTGTTTTGGCCAATTTCTCCCATTTAGAATGGCTGTATTTACTCAATACATGTACCCCCATTGTATCTATGAAGTAACTAGCTTGCTTTTGATTTTACAGGCTCTTAAGTGGAAGGGACTTGCTTTGTCTCAGATGAGACTTTGGACTGTGGACTTTTGGGTTAATGCTGAAATAAGACTTTGGGGGACTGTTGGGAAGTGTGAGGACATGAGATTTGGAGGAGCCAGGAGTGAAATGATATGGTTTGGCTGTGTCTCCACCCAAATCTCAACTTGAATTGTATCTTACAGAATTCGTTGTGGGAGGCACCCGGAGAGGGTAACTGAATCATGGGGGCCAGTCTTTCCTGTGCTATTCTTGTGATAGTGAATAAGTCTCCTGAGATCTGATGGGTTTATCAGGGGTTTCTCCTTTTACTTCTTCCTCATTTTCTCTTACTCTCGCCATGTAAGAAGTGCCTTTCACCTCCCGCATGATTGTGATGCCTCCCCAGCCATATGGAACTGCAACTCCATATGTCTTTATCACCAGCATGAAAATGAACTAATATATACATAGAGTATGACTCCATTTATTTTTTTACTTTGTTATTTACTTATAGTTATTATTATTTTTGAGAGACAGTCTTGCTCTGTTGCCCAGGCAGGAGTGTAGTGGCATGATCTTGGCTCATTGCAACCTCCACTACGTGGGTTCAAGTGATTCTTGTGCCTCAGCCTCCCAAATAGCTGGGATTACAGGCATACGCCACCACACCCAGCTATTTTTTGAATATTTAGTAGAAATGGGGTTTTGCCATGTTGACCAGGCTGGTTTCAAACTCCTGGCCTCAAGTGATCCACCCACCTTGGTCTCCCAAAGTGCTGGGATTACAGGGAGTGAGCCACTGTGTACAGCCTCCATTTAAATACATGAATTATTTATATCTATATATATACATGTAAAAACATAAAAAAGGACTGGGAAGATGAACATTAAACTGCTGCTGGTTAACTCTGGGAAAAATGGAGGGAGACATTTACGTTTTCTCAGAAAACTACTGTATAGTCCGCGTATTTTAAAATACAATACTCACGTGTTACTTTTTGTATTATTTTTCAAGGGTGAAGAACTGTTTAAAAAATATATATATATATGCACATATCAGGGGAAAAAGGAGAAGATTTTTTCAACAAGAAAGGGAAACACGGCCCCTGACATCAGCAGCATGCCTGGCACTCACACAGCTAGGTCTTGGTGCTCTCCTGCTGAATAATCTCATATGATATTAGACAAGGCCACTATGGCATTGATGGATCAAAACAAGACCACTTCAAAATCATGTCTGAACAAAGATAAAACGGCATTGTCCAAACCCTTAAAATGTTTCAACATCTTTAGCAACTGAGTATCCTCATTAAAAACATTTTAACATTAAAACAAGACAGGTTTATCATGAAATAAAGTGCAAAACAGGATTTCTTTAAGGGAAGTCCCCAGGTTATACCCCCAGAACCTTGAGAAAATAAGTTTACTCTAATGTGAGGAATATTTCTTTGGTGGAAATTTTTTTTAAGTACCACACTATACCATAATGCTTAGGAGACACTTTAGTAAATTTTTCTCAAAATCAGGTAAGTTTTTATATTGTAATGTCCATATGGTTCAAGATAGTCCTTCACCAAAGCTCTAGGAACAATACAAAGACATATAACTTTGTAAGACTAGTGTTTCAGCTTTCTTCCTTTCCCATGTAACATAGAGTTTCTCCATACCTTTGAACTTTTTCTCAGACTCACACCCAACTAGTTGATGATTCTAGGCATAACAGTTTATATTTATAGTATCAAAGCAAATTGTGAGTTTTTTGAACCATACTTTTAAATTGCCAGTAACTTCCCTTTGCCTACAACAATTGAATTGTTGGAAACCAACTGAATTTTTTAGACATCAGTAGAAAGTTTCCAAAAGGATTATGTTAACTGCTTTACAATATTAAGTTTACCAGCAGTTTATACAATATTAAGTTTTCTAGCAGTTTATACTAGAAAATCAAACCATAAAAGGTTTATTTACATTAACGTTTAAGAGAATGAGGCTGGCAGGGCTCTATTACCTTTTGGCCTGTGGTTACTGAATTCACCAGGAGCAGGGACTTTAACAGGCGTTGCTGAACTTTGAATGGTCAGCACACTGGGAGTGGCAGTAGTAGTAGAGTTGGCCTTTGGTCTTTGTCTTGGTGCAATTGAGGTTTCTGTTGGTCCAATGGTATCTGTTATTCTATAAGAGAAGAACATATTTCAATCTAAATATTGGCATTTTTTCTCATTTACTATTTGTTCTATAAAGCATCCAACTCAACAGGTGCATTTTAACTATTACTGATAATCACATTAGTCCTTATCTTTCTTCTAAGTCTAATTTTCAAGTATTAAATGTTTAATAAAGATAGGAGAATAAATAAAAGTATACAATCATTCATAGTCTGCTACTGAAACTGGCAGAAAAAGAATATAGTCCCAGAAACTGCTCTTAAGGAAATGAAATGATACTGAAAGGAAATAAACAGAAACCTTTTCGTAAGGTTTTGGATGAAACTGAGAGCCATTCTCTGAAATTGTCAGAGAAATAAAAATAAGAAACAACAAGAAATAATCTCCCTTTACTTGGACTCAAGGCATAAAAAAAGAAAAGACTGTGGCCTATGACATGTTAAACAAAAGCAGCCAAAACTTTTAACAGGTGGAGCCACCTGCTCACATTCAACTTCTTGAATCTTTACCTTTGCTTTACTTAGAACACAGAATGGAAATTATATAAAATGTATCCCACTAAGACTTAGTTTAGGCCCCAGATGTGGGTGGTTAAGCAGTAAACACAGTTTAGAAATTAAGAGACAATAAATATAATTTGAGAAGACACTGACATTTGCTTTTCTTTTTTTAAAAAAAAGGTAAAATATTTTATGTTTATCAACTTGCTTTCTATAAATTCAGTACAAAAACTTAAATACTTGTTAATATGACCATATGTTCATTTTCCAACAGGCTTCACAATAAAATCTCTTTATTAAATTCCTTACACATTTTCAAATAAATTAATACTTTAAAATTTTACATACATATGATTTATCAAGCACACATCTGCTGTATTTGCATCTATCAAGTGCACAGATTCAGTTATTTCTCAACATCTGTAAGCACCACAAGAGGGTGCCCTATTAACAACTATCTTTCCAAGAGAATGAAAAAAAAACATGACACTGAATCAAAAAAACTTAGAATTATATGTATTCTATTCTCTGAAAATAACACCTATGCTCTATATGGGATGAGGATGGTAAAAGTCATGAAAACTGAAATATATACATATATATAGTTATATATGTCTTATATATATATACACATAATCGATTATATCTTGTTTTCATGATAATCAAGTATTTATTGACTTCAAATTATTGAAGGGGCATTACAACCAATGCTGTACTCCCTAAGCTCAAGTAATTTGGGTGAAATATTGTATGCAATGACTCTGTTTAACTATCCATTCTGTATTAAGTGGCTAGTACAGACTAGTACAGGCCAGACCTGATGTTGCATTGTTGCTGAGCTAAACCCCCTTTAGAGATTCACAACACATGTAGGCATCGCAAAAGAAGCATATTAAAAGTCTGTATACTTTGTTCATTCTAATGTCCCCTGTTTTACTAATATGCAGTAATATGTATTGTACATTTACCGATATCCAGCAAAACACTGCACAACACCCTGTCAAAGAATTTACAGTATACCTAGGAAGATAGGGCACGTTAGTAGAAATGTAATAATACATAAGATAGTAAAAATCGTCAGTGCCAAGCTACTGCTGTCAAGAGTTTATAGAGATGTAACTGTACTTTTAATCTAATTTGGCTACAGAATTCTTCAGGTAGAAAATGGGGTTTAAAATTTTTTTAATAAGTCTGACTTCATTAAGCAATGACAAAGAAACCAGGCATTCTCTATATGGGAAGAAAATGCCTGGGCAGATTAGGCATAGGGAAGATACAAAATTGACTGAAGTTAAACACAGTAATTATTACAAGAACACTGCCACACAGTCTCATGTGCACTATTACCATAGCCACAGAGCTGTTTTTTCTGCTTCCCTTCTTTTCTCCTCACCATCATCTGAACAAAATCATCACAGTTTTCCTAAAACTCACACTCACACTCTCCTGCTTAAAATCCTTCAATGTTTCCATCTGCCAGGCCAGTGATTCTCAAAGTCTCCATCTTTAAGATATGTGTCAGCTAAATTTCACATGTAACCTACACTAAGAGAAGATGCAAAGTTCAGGGAGATGAGAGTAGTTTTTTAAGAAGGCAAAGAGAGTACCACAGATTGAAGGCAGCTGAGTACCCACAGGAGCTTTCTGAAAACATGTGAGTAATGAAACTAGCTAGTAAATGATTTCTCCTCCCAAAATATGCTATTTACATGAAAAACAACTAAATTTTTTAATATTCAGCTTTGTATACATTTAGATTTGTTCGAGTTTTCACTAATATTCATAAAGAGTAAATTTATATTATTGACAGCCTTATTTTTTAATATATATAATGTTCAGATTTAACATACTATAAATAAACACTGAATTTTAATAGCACTATTTCATTGGCTTGTAATTATATAGCTATAACTTGTGTTAAGGTGAAAAGATAATCAAATCATCATTCTTGTTCAGCTGACTTATGCTATTTTTTAAAAATCTACCTTCTCAAAGATTTGTTTATTATTTTAAAAAACAGAAGTCACAATAAAACTCAACTGACAAATCCTACAATAATTCATAATTACCACTCAACAGTGGATGCTAATTAAAGCTATGTCATAGGTAAGACCAATAGTTGGTCAAGCTGGATTCCTGCAAGTTATATATAACTTTACTCCTTCAACTCTTCTCAAAAGAACATTTTGAAATTCAAGTGAATGAAGACATTTTTAGAGTAACACCATTTTTTAAAATAAGTCATTCACAAATGACATATTAACAATTTACAAGTAACGGATCATTTACAACACATCACAACCCAGTCTCAATGAGTAAAACTGACTAGAAGGTTGAAAACTAACTGACCTATAGGCCAAAGTTCAAATTTCTCAGCATGAAATATAAACAACGTTGTTCATGACTGGCATTTATCTACCTCTCCAGCTTCATTTCCCACTACTCCTGTGTATGTCCCCTTTTGCCCTAGGCTTACAGTTTCACAAGGGCCACTCTTGCCTAAACTGCCTGCCTGCTATAGTTTCACTCTGCACCCTTCCAGGTGATTGGCTATTCATCATTCAAGGAAGAGTGCAGCAATTCCCACCCACAGGAAAACATTCTTTATGGGCTCCTGTTTTCTCTGCTCCTAGACTTTCCCTTACTCCACACTCTCAAGGTAGCCTGATACGTATCAGGTTGTAATTGTTTACTTGTCAATTAGAATGTGAATGCCTGGGGCCGGGCACGGTGGCTCAAGCCTGTAATCCCAGCACTTTGGGAGGCCGAGG